GGCCAAGCCTTAACGTGTGACCAGAAAGCTGTTTCTGCTGAGAAAAATACTATTGATGCCACATCGTTTCCCCATTCTTTTACCACAAAACAGTGGAAGAACAAAGTGTCAGTGAACACAGGGTAGTGACTTAATTGTTAATTATAACTGAACTGCTAATTTTAATTTGGTAGGTGCATGTCTATGACAGGTTACAGCCACCTATGTGTAAGACAGCAGAGTATAGCTGTGGAATCTAAATGGTCTGAGATATACTGACGCTGTCTGACCTCGTCCTAGCACTGGGCCACGGCGGTATAAGTTATTAAAACGCAACCTGCCGGCATTTTTAGATGGTTGCAAAGTGTGAAACATTTGCATTGCTTTTATTTTGCATCAAACTTTGTATTGTTGCAGTTGAGGATTTTTTAGAACAGGTTCAATATCATTGGTGACTGACTCATTGTTATAGGGCTTACTTTCTAAATCCGGTTTTCATTAGTCACAAGTGAAAATGCACCCACTGTGTTTGTCAGACTGTTAAACGGCTGTTATCAGTTGTTATCATGCCCATCGGTTTTGGCAGTAGTTGACCTCCTCCACCCTCTAGTAGCTGAAGTACCCATTATCACCTCATTTCATGGTGCTCCGTTGTCACCACATTTAATGGTGTCCTCACGTGTTTTCACTTACACTTAAAGTGGAACAAAAGTTCACTTTGGGTGATTGGAGGTGACATAAGTCAGCAAACTTTTGACTGAGACGACATCCTTGAAGTAAGCATTGTTTTTACTTTACATTTCACTCTTTAGCTACTACATGTGACAACGCTCCATTTAGTAGTTTTCTGGGGGGATGACTCCAGCAGAGATTTTATATGCACCTATTCACACAACTGCACGGTTGCCTACATAACATGAGTTACTTTCAGCCAATCAGCTGTTGGCCCGATTCTTTAGTTGAAAGCTCAAGAACAAACAATCTTCAGTTTACAGATGCAGAACTTATTTAGGTCACAGGTAAAGTGAGGCAGCACTGGGCTCAGAGTGACAGAGCTCTCGCGAGAGCTCTATCAGAAGGAGCCCCAATATCCGGAAATGATTCACATTTATCTTCTTGGGCTGGGCTGAGGTTGGACTTGTATGCAGCCGAGTATAACTGACCAGTTACCAATGACGTGGACAGGCATACCTCATCCACGCTCTGTCCACGTTCTTGAAATGTGGTAAGCAACATGTGTGGGTGTTGTTGGTACGGCGTGTATCTAAAGTTGCAGTCGTAACTGAATAGAGAATAGAGAAATCTCAGCTGTCTCCTCGTATGTAAACCAGTTCTAAGCGGCCATGATATCTTCAAGGACGTACACTGTGCTTAGTAGAAAAGTACAAAACATGATCATAGATTCAGTGGAAAAATACAGAATCAGAATAAATAATCGCATGAAAAAAAGCCAGTTCTAACACAGCAATCACAATAAATGGTTACACACTTTCAAGCCTTCTGGTGCGTGCATGAGGGCGCAATACGAGCAATATCTACGGGCAAAACAACCGATAACTGCTTAATAGGCTGACAACATCCGAACAGGATGGACAATGTCAGTTTTCTTGGATTATTTCAGATCTCACTTTGGCCTTGCAATGGGAAAAAGGAGACTTAATTTATTTCAAAATTGTCTCAAGTGCCTCTTGTCCAGTGAAGCTAAAATTGTTCGCTCTTGCCTTACAGTTGTAGTGCTGTTGCTGACTGAATTTAAAGGCCAATTACAAAATATGTTTTTCTTGGTTTGTTGTTGTTGGTATTACTTTATGAACAAATTGCAGGCAGTTGGATTATGATTATATGGCTTAATCTGTGTTATGCCATATCAGTAAAATAATTGGAATTGCAAAAAACATCGAGGCAATCTGCTCGATAACATGATGCTCAAAATAAGATTCACAGTTACTCATACAAACACGCATACATCTATCTGGCCAGGGCCACTAACAGCATGTGGCATTGCCCTGCTGGCTGCAGATGGACTGTTGCTATGCAGGAGAACGTTTTAAACATATGAAAATGTATGAAAGCATGTGTCAGATTGCAAGAAGCTGCTCCTCTCCCACAGTTAGCAGACTATCTGAATAGGTAATGGAGACTTGTATGAAAGAAAGTGTGTCTCTCTCTCTCTCTCTCTGTCTCTCTCTCTCTCTCTCTCTCTCTCTCTCTCTCTGTCTCTCTCGCCGAGATATAACACCACAATCACATTTCTGTACAGACCCCCATTTTCATATCTCAGAAGTGTTGACTTTTCACAAATTAAGAGGAACTGTCTGTTTCTCCTGTCAACACGAATGGATCTGATTCTATCAGAGGTTCTCCTTCCAAGGATTACTTTCCCCGGAGAGACAATTTCAGCTGTTGATCAAGAGGAAAAAGGCCAAATTGGTTATCAGACAATTTTGTAGGGCTGTGAAGACATTTTCGATTTACTTCTGTTATCACAGCAGACGGAGTGATATATCTGTTCATTTTATTTGCACCTCAGAAAAATATAAAAAAAATAAATAAATAACCAGTCCACAGTCCTCGTGTGTGATAGTATTAAAGCCACCCGTCACTCATAACAAGATCTAGGAGATTTTCCCAACCTGTTGCCATGGAAACTCCCTAACATATGAAAACTCCTGAGCTCTGAAAATAAACAGGGGCTTTCCCAAGCTTTCGAAAAGCGATCGAGGCAGTGATGTTGTCAGAGCTTCGGGTTTTGCGCAGGGAAAGAATGTGGAAGATTCCCTAAAAGCGCAAAGATTTAGCCGAGAACCGTAACCGCTCGGTGGTGGTTAAGCACGCTTCTTTTCACGCGCAACTCCACAGACGCATCCTTGAGTTGCAGCAGTTATAAGGGGAAGCGGCAGAGCAGGTGAGAAGGACTGCGGAGAGAAATCTCCCCCACCGACAGGTACATAAACATTCTGTACCGAAGAGAAACCGAGCCATCAATAAATACACCGTGCGAGTGGGATCCAGACAGCAGTAGTGGCAGAAAACAACCTGCCAATCTAAATGTGATTGCGTCCATATAAATGCATGGCTTCACATACTCAAATCAATAAAGGTGCAGTTTACACACCACCTTATAATTCTAAATAGTCAAGGGATGAAAGCTGTAGCACGCCGTAACTCATAGCAAGTGCAGGAGTCGCACTTTAGAGCGCGATGCATAAACATGTGAGAAGCAACAGGAACAAACTGAGAACTACTTATTAATTGCTGATAGGTTGTTCTGGAAAAAAACTCTGGATTGAGGACTACATGGCAGATGAGTTATGAGGGAGCGCACCGTATTAATGAATTGTAAGGCAATACTTACTTCACAAGTGAATCAGAGTGACTATTGTCTATGTGAGATTTTCCTGATAAATTCTAAATTGAAATCAAGAGAGACTGCTGTCTGTTATATGCCGGGTTTGCCTGTGTGTTTGAAATTAGGAACTAGTCATTAATGAATCATCAAGGTGTTTCTGTCAAAAGGCTCCTCAAGTGTATCTTTTCTTTCCATGCTACGCCAAAGAAAAAAAGATTTTAGAGTTTAGACTTGACTTCCAAGTAGATCTAGTAGCTGAACAGCAAGGCAGTAATCACACTTATGCCGTATAGATGTAACCAACACTTCTTCTTGGGAACATTCAACTTTTAGCATTCTTCAGAGCGGTGCAATCCCATAGAGGCCTTTCATGCAGAATTCATAGAGCCATATTAAACATTGACCACCAACCGAAGCACCATTGCAGAGTTAGGCCCTTACCCATCGATTGTTACCATAAAAAAAAATAACTTCTACATCTTGGTTACTTCTTAAATCAAGCCCCCGGGATACACAGGGATTCCAGGCACTACAAACCCAAGAGCTCAACCCCCAAAATTCCTGAGACACCCAACAACAATACAAACTCCAATGCTATCTGGCCCCAAATCACGAATTAATTGGCAGAATATACCTGTAAAGTCAGAGATGCAAAACAGTTCCTGACCAAATAAGCCATAGAGAATGGATGACACAAGAAGTAGAAGTCCCCGACCGAGTAAAGAGCGTATGGTCACTGCACATCAGGTGAGGTGGAAACAGAGAAGCACTTCTTTTCAAAGTGTGTGACAGATACAATGATTCAAGACAGGAATACTTTCAAAAGTTTGACTCATTCATCCAGAACTTTACGGGACTAAACAACAATGAAAAGGACCAGATTCTGATAGCAGAGGGACGCACAGCACAGAACAATATGAGGTTCTGTGTCCCAAGCTGAGGGACATGTAATTAAAACATCACAGAGTATGGCAATTATCTTGACAGCCTACTATACATGTGACACACACATAACAGATCTTTACACCCCCCCTTTTTGCCATTGTCTTGTTCTTTTCATCATCTTATTCAATTTCTTTATTACACTTAATAAACTATATTTAAAGAAATTCCCTTTTCTTTTCTTTTATTATTATTATCTTTGATGCTTTGGCAAAATTGTTAAACTGATATCCATGCCAGTGACGCATACATTATAAGAATTCTATGGTTTTTCATTCCCATTTTATTTCGACTTGAGCTAACAGGTGACAGCTCCGTGTGCTGTAGCATGTTGTGCACACAAAGCTGAAAACTTACCTGTTTGCTTAAGACATCCATAGAGCATAATACACGACCCCCCCGTTCTACAATAAAAATGTCACTACAGTTGCGTTTGCAGTGATTTGACAGTGACTAGCTCAGTTGCAGTCAAAACTGCCAAAATAATGACAAAATCAATGCCCTCATCAAGCCAAACCCCACAAAACATGGAAAACTGTCTCATTCATAAAGCCATAATGAAAATGCCGGCAATAAAAGCATGCAGCAAAAGTATCAGCACAGCAGTAAAGCAAACTAAGAGGCGAGCATTAAAACTTGTTCGACAGACTTTCCTCACATTTGGCCCTGACTAGCTTGTGTTCAGCGAACCCGACAATGGCTCTGTTCCACTACAGATGTCTTTATCATTTCAGTTGATTAGACTTTTACGACTGGATGGCGCTAATCTCCACTTGTATCATCTGTCATCTGCTCTCATCCTCGTAGCGACGGCTGATGTCTCCTGATTAACTTGCATACAGCTGCACACACACACACACGATCACACTCACAAACACACACAGGCGCACAAATGCCTCTTGCTCGTATGCTTTAAAAGATTCCTAAAAGTCGCTATCAATACTACAGATAGACAACTAAAACACAGACAGACAATGAATGGATTAACAGTGCTGACAGACAGACCTGTAAACCAGTGTGTCATCCCCAGAGCTGTTGTATTGGACTTGGAACATCCTGACTCCCGATGTAGGAGCTTGACTGCTCCATCTAATGAGGGCAGAGTTCCCCGTCAGCTCCACCAATGAGACCCTCCTGTCTGCCGTCCTTGTCTCGTTGTTAGGCAGTGCGACCTTTGAGGAGGTCAGGATGTCAGAGGGGGCAGGTTCGGACGAAGGATCTCGGCTGCGGCTGGTGCTGTTTGCCAGATGGGGCATCGCCGTGACGACTAACTCCACCCTTCCCGTGGATTCACCTGCTGCGTTGGAGGCGATGCAGGTGAAGTTTCCTGAGTCCTTCAGGGATGTTACGTTGATCTCCAGGCTGCCATTGGGGAAAACTAAAGTTCTGAAATGGATGGAAATTGAGATGTTAGTGTGACGGATATCTTGACTGAAATGTAACAAATATGTAGAAAGCTTTCTAAAAGTTAATGCAGCAAGCTTATTTTTTAGTTTTTTTAGATTCTAAATGCCCTTCCCTTTAATCCCTCATTTTTATTCTTTTCTCTCTAAATCACATCTGGTGGCTGCTAATCATTCAAATAGGATACTGTTATAATTCTCACTGCAGCTTGGATTGGCAGAGTCGGAACTTCATACAAACATGGGCCAGGCCACGATTTGCTCCCTATTGAATTTAGTGAAGACATGATCACGACACATCCACTTCCACTTCTCAGTCCCATAAGTCTTCCACTCTCCATCTAATTGCTAATCAGTGTTCACTTTAATAATCCATTTACTCGCATGTGTACTTTGCTGCCTCCAGCACCTGATGCTGATGCCAACTTCCACCACCAGCATCCACCCGGACTCTAATCGTAATCAATGCGTTGACTGCCAGGCTGAGGGGTTATGTTGCCGCCTGGTCGTGTGATTCATCCCCATAATTTTCAGAATTACCGCAAGTGGCACTTGCCAAAAAAAAATCAACAATGCTTCATATCCATAAATGTGGCTTCTCTGGTTAAATATTTAATGATGCAACCAGAATTGGAAAATCAAACAGTTTCCACGAAAAGAGTTAAACACATTATATTTCAAGATGTCTGTATAAACCACCAAAACTTGTATCTGACAAGTGTGCCAACTAGGTTACCAGATCAAAATGGAAGAAAAGTGTTATGGGTGAGGAGATTCTGACCTCAGCAACTATCTTAAAATCTTCTTTCCGAGTTGGCCCACACAAGTCAAGTGCCTACGCCCAACTACAGCCAAGACCAAAATTATCTAAGATGCAATGTCTTTCTGACTTGGATGCACATTGACACATACCACTGAAATAGAGCTGCGTAAGAGAAGCTATTTAACAGCTCCTCTCCTGCGCCCGCCAACCTAAAGTGGTGCTCTCTAAGGACACGCCTTATCCCCTAAGTTAAAAAATAAGCTTTAATTTTAAAGGCTATATAATCTGCAGGCCAAGGGAGAAGAGCAGTGAATCAAACTATGCCACAGGATCATGTTAATACCTGGAGCCATTAGATATAAGTCGCCCCTCAGGGCTGATCCAGTGGACTTCAGGCTCCGGGTCACCATTCGCTTTACACTTTAGACTGGCAGGTTGTCCTTCCATAGCCACGGTATGGGGTGACTTCCGGGTCAGAACGGGTGGGTCACAAATAAACTCCTGAATGGCGAAACAGATAAGGTCATGCTTGACATGCTGTCTTGGTTATATGACATCTTCTTTATTAATTTCCTGCATGGCACTAATAAAAAAGCAGAAAAATGTCACCTCTTCAGGTATTGTCCAGAAGTACTTGGCACTAAGGTCAGGCGGAGAGGCGCATGTCTCGAGGTCGTCTTCTCTGGTTAATCTCCTCAACCATAGAAGTTCACAGTTACAGTGAAGAGGGTTACCGCCAAAACTCAACACAAGCGATGAGAGGGGCGAGCCTTTAGACTTGGCGTAAACTGGGATTCTCAGGAACAATGGATCTGGGGGAATTTTCTTCAGCTTGTTGGACGTCATGTCTAGCCTGTTCAAGGACATGGTGTATGGGGAAAGGGAGGGATGGGCAAGAGGAGAGGGGGGGGGACACACATATATTATTAAAAGGTTTGATTTAGGTTTTTTTTGTTTTTTGTTTTTTTTTTTCAGTTGACCAGTACAATATTGCATCGATATATTATTTTAAGCACACTATCCTCTTAGTTGTATGTCCTTACCTGGCCAGTTTGTGCAGGTTAGTGAATACTCCCTGTGGAACATTTTCTATGAGGTTATGATCCATGTTCAGGGTGTTGACATTGGTTAGACGCCCAATTGTGTCCCAGGGCACCTGGGCAAGGTTGTTATAACTGAGGTCTAGATCCTCCAGTGTGGACAAGAAGTCATCAAAGGCGTGGGGAGATATTGAGTGAAGCTGGTTATTGGCCAGGATCAGATGGCGAAGGTTGGTCAGACCTTTGAAATGGTCATCCTGGTTGTTGAAATAGTGAACAGGTAGTGAGACACTGAGTACATTATGATAAAGACAATCTGTCTGGTACATCTACTGTATCTGCTGTTTCGACATTATCTACCACCGTAGCCCCATTGTCAAGTTGTGTATCCATTATCCATTAACCCCTTTTTTAAACTTTTGTCTTGTGCTGTTGTGTAAACCTGACTTTTCGTTTTCATTCACCACCGTTATTCCTTCCATTCATCCATCTTACCTTGATCACAGTTAATCTATTAGAGTCCAGATGGAGTGCTCTCAGTCGCCGCAGGTCACTGAAAGCGGACGGAAGGATCTGACTGATGGTGTTTCTGGACAGGGTCAGATGTAACAGGCTGGTCATGTTGGCAAAGTCCTTTCTTCGAACAGCTAGGAGTGAGCCAAACAACACAAACTCTCAGTCCCAAGTATCAGGATTTGCATAAAGTAGAGTAATGAAGAAGAATAGAACACAGATGGTGCGCTAAACCGATTTAAAGCACGGCTGTTTGCTTGACCCCAGAATGAGGTACTTTCCACTAAAAGTGTATGACTCACATTTGCAATTTTCTGGAGCATTTTATAAAATTGTTTTTTGATTTCGGAGGTGGAAGTGAGAGGAAATACAAGATAAATGAGAAAAGAAGTATTGAGATAAATTTACTGAAGTGCTTTTACTTGATCTTACTGAACACAAGGCTATTGTGAAAGTAAACTCCGCTTTAAGGTTAAAGTCTAGCATTCATTCATATGATAATCATCCACTTAGAATCTTTTGCTTACATATGCCTAGCCATCACTTCTAGTAGTTGTGTGACTGTCTTCCCAGCTTAATGAGTGTGTGTTCAGAACAAGAGTCGTGTAAGAGGTCATATGAAGATGGTTTAGAGCCTGAGAAGAGTTCCTATAAGCTTAAACATATTGAATTTGGAAACACTAACCAAATGGAAATGAGTTCTCCATGTACTATAAAATATCTCTTTCTATTTTGTACATTAAGACTCAGGAACATAACTTATTCTCTCCATATATGCTGCATATATATATACACGACATATATTTTATAGAGAACCTGCAAGTGTTTTGTCTGTTTTTGATAAGTTCTTAGGACTATGGTTCAGGCAGCTTTTCTCTCAATACAATGATCACCTCCGTGAGACAATTAACTGACTGTTTCGCACATGCTTCCTGCTGTTTAGTTGCATATTGCTTCCACTCAGCTATTAAGATGTGTTATAACAGCTATGCAGATGACACCCAACTGTATGATAATCCCAGTAATGCGACCACACATCAACACACCTGTTCTGCTCCTGCAATGTCTCCAAAGGTAATAAAACCTCCAGCAGCTAAACAGAATCTTGAAATCCCTTTATTTTTCAGACAGATTCAGTCTGTGTCTTTGTCACCAGCTCTAGATTGCTGTGGCACCCTTATTTGTGGTCTTAATGCTACATCCAGTCAAAAGCTCTGGTTTATTCACAATGCAGCAGCCTAAACTAGAAATATGACCCTGTAATTCCAATTCTTAAACAATTTTACTGGCTACATGTTTGTTACAGACATTTTATATATCTGACATGATTCTGTTTTGTCAACTGGGCACATTCCTAATCTTCTTCTTTGAATTGAATAATACAGCACTCATTCCAAATCAGACAACAGATCTTTTAATGGTCATAAAGTATGTGGCAGTATGCCAGCTGAGTTGTGGTATGTGCACCTTGTTTTAAAAATAGACTGCACAGAATTTGTTATATTTATATGTGTAATGTCTGCCTGTGCACTGCTATTTAAATTGACTGTCACATGAAACTCATTGTGCTGTGAAAAGACTGTGAAAGCACCATTTGTTTGTTTGTTTTTTTCTTTTAAGGTTGTCTGTCTTTGGTTTTGGCCAACTATGGAATAAAGAACTAATGGGAATTCAGATTAAAATGAAAGGATGAAGCAACACTTCGGTTCTTAAAAATAAGTATGTTTCAAAGTCACAAAGAAAACTCTTTGATATAAAAGGGAGATGAATCGTGAATGAGATTTACTCGGCTGAACCACGAAACAACAACAACAAAAAGTATTAAAGTTGAAAAGAAATATCCAGGATAATAGGAAGAGACAAACAAAATAGAATTGTGACTTGAGCCAACATTTGCATTCAGTGTTTGCAAACTGTTCAGTTACAACCAAGTGTTCTGAGATAAGCTAAATATGCTGCCAAATTTCAATCAGCCACTGAGTTTTTTTTTTTTTTTCCCCCCTCCTCCCCCCCTCTATGTAAACAACCAATCCAAACATACACAGATATGCCAGTGTGTGATGTGAATTTCAATGGTATATTAAATTAAATGGAACACGGGACAGACTGGCAGGTTCGTTACCTGTGATGAAGTTCTCTTGAAGCCTCAGCTCCACTGTGCGTCGATCAATGGCAGCGGGAACAAACAGCAAGCCTGTCTTGGAGCAGAGGATAGCGAGCGATGGAGAAAGGCTCTGGCACATACAGCGTTTCGGACACGGCTGTCCCCTGCATGCTGCTGCCAGCAACAGCAAAGAGAACCACAGCCGTTCCATTGTCCTCCACTGGGAACGGGGCAACTGAAAGACAGAAAGACAGGAGCAATGAATTAAAGTGGATGCAAAGAAGAAAAGGCTGTCAGGAAGTGGAATACCAGGGTGGATTCCTGACCTCCAGAGAAACTTGATCAGTCACAAAGATGACATACTGTTGCAACAGACACTGCGTTTCTTTGCTCAGGAAAGCAAACATTAAGGCTGTCTTTGATAGCTTTGTAAATCAGCCAGCTTTTGAACTGCAGCACATTTAGCTTTTGAAACGATTTCAACTTAATAAATTGCAGAACCTCATCTTTAATACAGTGACAATGTATGAGTACGGTGACCCAGTTCAAAACTATAGTCTGTTTAATTTGAAAAGTGAAGTTGGGTAGGAGGGCTGAAAAGTAGCTCGGTGGTTACTGTTGCCATGCAGCTAGAAGATCTACGGTTTGCGTCCCGGTTGGTATGCCTGGGATCTTTCTGCATGCCGTCCTGTCCAGACCACCATGTTGGTGCCCAGAAAAGGTGTTGATAGAGTTCATCAAGCACCATTAGAGCTAAGCATGTCCAGAACATATTTGGCAGTTACAAGAAGCTTTATATGACATATAAAGAGTAAATTACACATTTCTTATCATGTATAGGTTACATCTAGTTATTTTGACCAGTTCATTTATGGGATGATCATCAGCATAGATGTTAAAAAAAACAAAAAAACATTATAGATCCCCGGTTTGTGTCCTGGTGAGGACACTGGGATCTTTCTGCGTGGAGTTGGCATGTTCTCCCCGTGCAGCGTGGGTTCTCTCCGGGTTCTGTGACTTCCTCCCACATGTTGAGGTTAATTGGTGATTCTAAATAGTAAGTTGGTGTGAATGTGAGTGTGCTTGTTTGTCTGTCTCTAAGTGTAGCCCTGTGATAGACCGGTGACCTGTCCAGGGTGTCCCCTGCCTTCACCTTGAGCGAGCTAGGACCGCAACCCTAGTGAGGATTAAGCGGTGTCTAGATAATGGATGGATAAATGTTGGGTAGGGTCTTTGTTGGGATTTCCTGGGCTGGTTGGGTCTCAAAGGAAAGACAAGTGGCCTGTGATAGTTTTGCAGCCCCCAGAGTCTTGGGTCACTATTAACAGGTTTCTCTACATTAGGAGCACTTGGTGTGTTTAGCTGGTGTTGCGGAGTTGACACCAAATTCTGCCAATGCGCAAATAAGGGGTTGTTGTAGTGTCTCCATGTAGCTGCAGCTGGCTGGTAATTTGAAGCCTGCGAGTTACTCTGATCAACAGCCAGAGGGGTCAAAACTTCATCGCTATCATCCTTTAGGTTTTTGAATCTTCTGTGACTTGATACTCTTTTTTTTAGATGGCAAACCGACACTACCATTTAACAGCAAAGAAATACAGGAAATCCACAAAAGGAGTCCAAGAGCCATAGCTGTTGGCTGAGAAGGAGCGCCCCACACTCCTCTGAAGCCATGGTTTGAGACACACAGATTAGACATGTATGGTCTTGTACTTTTGTACGTGTTCTTACAGTTCAGTTTCTTGCTGAGTCACATCTTCCATATCTGGCAGAATAAAGAGTAACTTTTTAAATTCTGCAGTAGAAACAGAAATAAATGCCTCTAAGATTAAGGTCCATGACTCATGCATTCAAGTGTTACTTTTTCCAGACATATAATAGAACATTTGCTTCATAATTAACCTCTAATTAAACTCCAGAGCTATGCTGAGGTAGACGCCTGATTGACAGTAAAGCCAAGCAAAGACGCAAAGTAATCAGCACATGTAGGCATAGAGTTAAACAACGCAGGTAAAACTAGGAATCAAAATATACAATTTTTAAATAAAATACATGAATCTTTTAAAAATGCAAATTGTAGGTATATACAGTATGATTCTGTATAGGTTAGATTACACATGAGGCTTAAACATTTAATTCTACAGCCAAATTGCTATTGAGCTAAAAGTTCTTTAGTAAAGGCTTTTTTTTTTTTTTTTAACCTTACAATTATGTCTGGATGTAGCTGACAAAAAGGTGAGACATCCATCATTACACACAATGCAGTGAGCTCACAAAGGGCTCTATTGTCGTGCAGGCACAATGCTGACTTGGCTTTTTTTTTTTTTTTTTTTAAGTCACACCAGGGGGGTTTTCCTCGCTCATATCTGATATTTTGGTTTGTAAATTTTTGTAATATAGTGGTAAAGTGTTAATGTTAATCCAGTTATAATCCTCTTTTTGGTATCCCAAATGCATTTTTGGCTACAGCATCCACCAGTTGGGAACAGTTTCCTGTTTTAATAGCATTATTTCCAGCAAGGCAACTAAAGGTTGACATGTCCAATATTCTTCCTCGCATCTGTCATCTATAATAGCTATGATGAATGATGGCTATTTTAATATCCAGCTGCAGGTACAGGTTCTCTGCAGTCTCACACTGAACTGATACAAACCCAAGTAATACATGGTTGACTTACTATTTAAACCTTTAACAACCACCACTGAGCTGCAAAATAAACACAAATGCTTCTGTGCTACCATCCACATCAAGCTGATGTTACTTTTCTTCTGGTTTCAAATTAACAGTAGTGCTGGAGATGCTGACATGCTCAGGACACAGGAGACAGTTTCATAAAAAAAAATTGACAAGACCTTTCTATTCCAATTTGCAGGACTTGAACCCTCTCAGGAGCATCCCTTCCTCACTCAGCATCTGTATCCAGCAACACCTGTCTTCTCTTTTCTGATAGGTGTGGCAAAAGCAGCATCAGAAACAACTTTTTTTTTTTTTTTTAATGCAATAGATGTTGACCTCTGTTTGCAATTTGTTACAGTCTACATCTGCAGTGCAGCAGCAACAGAATTATTTTTTTTTTTTTTTTTTTAATGCAATAGATGTTGACCTCTGTTTGCAATTTGTTACAGTCTACATCTGCAGTGCAGCAGCAACAGAATTATATGACTATTCTGTTAAATGGATGTAACTTTTGTGGGTTTTTCAACATCATCTACCTTTTTAACATGCATGTAAACTATGTACACACATGTTGTGCATTAGGGCAAACTAATGTGAATGGGCTACATAAATTTATTCCAGTTCCATTACTCCTTTTGTTGCCCTTTGCGATTTGTTTGTGCCAGTAGGGGACTCAAAGCGTCACGAAACTCATCACCGATCAGATTTTACATGTCGCAATTCAGCCAGGCAGCTAAACATGGAACCAATTCCTCTTTCAAACACAGCGGATGACTCAAAAACCCATGGTGCGATATGTGTGTGTATCGGTGGGCAGCAGTATATTAGTCCCACCGGTTTGACTGAAAGGCGAATCGATGGCATTGAACTTGTAACCAGCAGGGGGGCCTGTGTACTACTTCTCCATCCTGCTCCTCCCCTGACGGTCCTAAAACCCTGAACAGAACATTTGTATCAAGGGATGACAATGTACTACACATCACAAGATTAAAAATACCCAGTGTTGCTGCACTTTTCTCTCTCTCTCTCTTTAGGTTGGATTTCCCTGTGTATCATCCAGTAAAGCAAATGTGCCAAATTCACACAAACAAATGAAAGTGCACACAGTCTCATGAGCCTGGTAAAAATAGATATGCTGTAATGTGATAGTTCATGTTCTCCATCCTCCCACAATGTAAAACACAGAACAGAAATAATGATTAGCTAACTTGCATATAAACATGTGTTTCTTCTGTCCGCCCTTCCATTTCACGCCCTCTTGTTGTTGTTTTTTTTTGTGTGCCCGTCAACATATTTCTTCTCATTGGGTTCGATTATTCTCTCCGCCATACCTCCCTGTCTTGTTCCTCTAATACGACACTCAATCTGCATTTTCCAATCATCTTAATATCTTCGCACTTCTCCTCTCTTCACACTTCACTCGCTCCATTTGTCCCTATTTTTAAACCAATGCAAATGCATGACACATAGATTCTTATCTTGTCACTCCACTGCCCACCTTGTTCCAGCTGTCCGTCAATCCGTGCAACAGCTCACTTTGCTTCTGCGCTCATACCCTCTTTTTTATCGTTTCTGCCTTCCTGTTTGCCTCTCAGCTCTTCCTCTCTTAAACCTTTATTTACAAAGCATGATTCCTACAGAGGATTTAATTAACACCCTCCCCCAATGTTGCTTTTCCAATAATCATCCGTCTCGCAAGACCCCTTCCCAAACCTGTTCCCCTTTCTGTGCTCCTACATCCTCCATCCTTTACCTTCCCTCGCTCCATTTTACGCATTATTACTATTGCTGTGTCTTTAATGCATTCACTTTGCACCAACTGTGATTTTAAATGCACACATCCTTCCCCCAGCTTTGAGTCTGTTTTATTTTAAACGTTTGGACACACCTCACTTGGTTGCCCCACTCAAACAGACTGAAGGTGTTTTTAAAAGGTATTCTATTATGGACGTATGGGGTTTTTCTTTCTGTGCAATTCACTGAAGATGATAGTGATCAGTCACCCACCGTTACTCACTGGCAGGCTTGTTCAGCAAAGGAGAGCTAATAACAGAAGAGAAACAGATCCAAGCTGTCTGCACTTGTTACCAGTTAGATCTGGCCATTAGAGTTGTTGGCAGTAATTTGAATGACAGTTTAATGCTCTGCAAATGGTCACTGTCATCCTTGGTGCAACTCAGTCTAAGACTGTAGTAGTCTCGTACGGCATGACGCGAAGAAGTGGTGTACTTGCCATCGGGTGTAATCCGGTGGAATCGTAACGATCCGTAAAGTTTTTAACCCAGCTTGTGTGCCTCTTACCGGCCCTCTCTGTGTGCCTGTCATTTGGGATGCACTTGAAATGCTCATTCTTGGTAAATTTTATAAATATTCAGAAAATGAGTATCACATCCAAGGTCCACCTGTTGCATGTGCCAACCTACGGTTCAGTGTGGTCTTTCATGAAATATCTTTGGCCATTATACAGATGTCATAGGTCCAGCATGAACACCAAAGTCAAATTTATTCATAAAGCACATTTGAGACAACTAGAGTTG